CCAGAGCGTCGCAGAAGGCTTTCGGCTTGTCATTGGCTTGATTGGAGGGGAGGGAGTGGGCTAGATAGGGTGGGATGGCAGCTTAGCTGGACGGATCGTAAATCCTTAGCCTGGATTCGTTGGGGGGTTTCTGTGTTTGTGGATTTACTACGTAGTCAGATCTGATTGGAGCAAGAGGAGGTCAGGGCCACCACAAAAGGATCAATTAAAATGATCCTTCCACCTTGACTTCGCGATTCGTACATCTATTTCGGGGAGATATAGGTAACATACAATTAATCCTTCCAAGCTGTGGCGGGACTAGAACAAATACAAAGGTAAATGGCTGATACGGCGGAAATTCGAAGGAGGGGTGAGGGATATTGTGCGTACCCTGTTGGCTTTGTGCAGAGCCTGGAAATAGGGGGCCACTCAGAGTCGATATGATTACCCGCTTCTGGGGGGAATGAATCCCAAAGCGCTGCAACTGCGTCAATATGCAGTATTTCAAGACAGCAGCAACTCTCATACTCACCTTCTTGCCCATCGTGAATTGCTCCCAATCCATCGGTTGTCGATGAATCACCCTGTGTCTTGAAGCCGCCGAACTACCTGCACCACGAGCGGAAATCTAGATGAGAGGATTCAACGCTAACATTCCTGTGGTTAGCGTACGCCAGAAGCTGCGTCGGATGGTTTGTGTCATTGTATTATGTAGTGGGAGGGCGTAGTTCATGTACTTGAATCATGTGACGGAATTCTACAATAGTGCGTTGATAGGGCTGCAATGGGTCTGTTGAGCTTGTAAGGAGTGGGTTGTTGCAGAACACAGAGTGGAAAGTGCCATTAGATGTTCACTGCAAGTACTTATCAATATCGTTGAGTCAGTCAAGTGAACGGAAAATCAGAACAAGGCGCACATACCTTCAGTCCAGAGAGTCCATCTTGAACCATCGCGAGAACGGTGGAAGATCAGAGCATGAGAAATGCCACAGTGGTTGTGAGTGAGTTGGTGGTGATGGTGATTGATGAGTATGTTGACGTTACACAGTAGTAGCTGGGACTATCTGTGAGCTCTATCTTCATATTTCCACCTCAGCAGCGGAATGATATCGCTCAGACCAGAACTTTTGAACAACTTCACCATCCTCTTGCCCATTTCTTCCACCATCCACCTACGCACCTCCACTCAATCCAGCCCTGCATACCCGAACATATCCCACAACGATCTTCCATGGTTCGGCCTGCAATCACGTAAATCGACACTGTGGCATCGGACCCAACAAAACTTTGCCTCTCTTTCCCTCTCTAGAGGGCGCCGATTCACCCTTCCTGCGTACAACCTCCAGCGTGGTGTTGAGAGCAATGGTGACGAGTTTAATGTGGTCCTGGTCCTTCGACAGTGTTCGACTCCTTCTTTTCCAGATGCCGATGCCAGCTGAGCAACTGATGCCAGGTGAGGAACATAGCGGAAGTGAGGCAAGTTCACCGTGACTATAGGTTTCGGGAGAGAAGATGAACCGGGTGAGCGAATGAGGTCCTGAATTCACTGGACAACCCTTGCAGTTCAATCATCTGTATCAGCCTTCATCCTCCTCATTATAGAAGATAGTTCCGGCGGGTATTCCCTCTCGTAGTTCATTAGCAGGCTTGAGATATTCATGTGCTGAGGCCTAGGAAAGTGCAATAAAATAGTGTAGTCTGAGGGCGGAGCGCAATGGATCAGGAGTCAGGCCCGAAAGCCACGTGAAAGGCGTGATGCGTCACAATATCTTCTCCATATCCTCAGCCTTGCATCTTCGGAAGAAATTTTTATTATATTCACAATCTAAGCCGTAGTTAGATGCTGATGTTATTGAAGAAGAAAATTTGAATTTCTTCTTCATTTCCTCGCTGATATTATCCCTGAACAATTTATTATTTTATCTCTGATTTATTCTCAATATCTTCTGTGAATAAATAGGCCAATGCCCCCAGTGTTGTCACCTACTTGATGTGGAGAAGATCCATGGCTCCCTCTGCCACGTCGCCTTTGTTTACCTTGACGGCCGCTCTCGCCTGCCTTCCTTATCAAATTTCACATCATCCTTCCACAACAATGAACTCTTGGCGAGGTACCCACCCCATTCCATGATGTCCGATCTCACATGGTGGCTTCAAAAACTTGAAGATGGCACTGTGACGCACGCTCTCCACCCTCATGGCCCTCTCCAAGACCTTCACCTCTATGTCGACGCCTCCACATCTTGGGGCATAGGCATCATCATCAGGGACCATTGGGCATCCTTCCAGCTCTCACCCACCTGGAAAATTGCCAGTAGGGATATCTGCTGGCTTGAAACAGTTGCCGTCGAGCTCCTCATCTATTTCCTTGAAGAAATGGGCTTACACAACTGCCGCTTACTGATCCACTCTGACAACCAAGGTACCATTGGTGCCTTGGACAAGGGGCAAAGCCCTAACTCTCATATCAACCTCTCCATTCGCTGCACCTACCAGGACCCCCGAAAATCCTGCTAAATGGTAGATACCAATCCGGACAGAATTTTTCAAAATGAGGTGCTAGGATAGATACAAACTGGACAGGTTTTCGAAAAAATCAGCAAAATGCTAGAAACAGAATCTGGACAGGCTTGCGAGAAGAATCAGAGGCTAGATACTAACTGGACAACTATGGTCACATAGCTCAAAGGAAAAAAAGTATGTACTTTATGAAACCTGACGTGTGGTCTGCAGTTCGAACCTTTTCCTGCACAAAAAAATTTGGCCCTGACTTCAGGGCAGTTAGTAGGAATCACCCAGCTACACTGAGAGCCCCAACAATACAAACAGGCCATAGTTGATGGGGCCTGCTGATGGGCCAATGAGGGCCAATAACCCTGTGTTGATGAATTGGCTGATGTGATCCCAGTATCAAGGTGAAGAAGGGTCGGCCAGCTACATAGATTTATCATAAACCGATCAGTAGGAGGAAGCTGTGCTGGGAAGTCAAGTCCCTGTATTTGTGTATCGGCTGATAGCTAACCAATGCAAGGTCGGCTGACAGTTTTTTGGCTGATGAAAGATAGCTAAGCTATGCAAGGCCGGCTGACAGTTTTAAACATTGCTGGGTAGGTGATCGGCCGAGGGGGCAGCTAGCCATGCAAGGTCGGCTGACAGTTTGAACAATGCTGGGTAGGTGATCGGCCGAGGGCCATCACTTCTGATTAGCAGCTAGGCTATGCAAGGTCGGCTGATATTTCGACCGTGGCCTGGGTTGGTGGTCGGCCGAGGGCCCTCGACTCTGGTTACCAGGGTCAGCTGGTCAGATGTAGATATCACAGAGTCGGCCGTGGACAAAAATGTATGAACATGGTCAGCCGAGGCTTCACCGAGGCCGGCTTCTCAGTTGGGCCTTTAAGTTAGCAGCCAAGCAGAGGCAGACTGGGCAGAACTTACCTCCATAGTTCAAATTTTCAACTTGATCCATAGTAAATATAAAAAACAAGAGCTGCGATCACTGCAAGTGACTTCTGGGATTCGAACCCAGGGCATACATACATGACGTACACCTCCCAGTGTAACCACTAAGCCAAGCCAACATTGGAAGACAATGTCGGCCAGTATCTTTTACCTGCCTGCAATTTGAACCCAGGCGTCCAAGCTCGGCACTTGGTAAGTCACCGTTCTCGGCATACGACAACACATTGGTGAAGTACTTTGGCTGGTGCCGAGGCCGGGTGGAAAATAACCGAGCAGACAAGTGAATTAAATTGGCAAAAGTGCCCGGGCTGCGTCTCAGGTAATAGAGCCGATTTAATATTAAATTGGTGAAGTACTTTAAGTGGTGCTGAGGCCGAGTGGAAAATAACCGAGCAAACAAGTGAATTAATTCAGCAAAAGTGCCCAGGCTGCGTCTCGGATAATAGAGCCGATTTACTATTAGATTGTTGAAGTACTTTGGCTGGTGCCAAGGCCAGGTGGAATATAACCGAGCAGACAAGTGAATTAAATCAGTAAGAGTGGCCGGGCTGCATCTCGGATAATAGAGCTGATTTAATATTAAATTGGTGAAGTACTTTGGCTGGTGCCGAGGCTGGGTGAAAAATAACCGAGCAGACAAGTGAATTAAATCGGTAAAAGTGCCCGGGCTGCGTCTCAAGTAATAGAGCCGATTTAATAGTAAATTGTTGAAGTACTTTAGCTGGTGCCGAGGCCGGGTGGAAAATAACCGAGCAGACAAGTGAATTAAATTGGTAAAAGTGCCCGGGCTGCGTCTCAGGTAATAGAGCCGATTTAATAGTAAATTGTTGAAGTACTTTAGCTGGTGCCAAGAGGCGGAGGTGAAAAAATAGAGTGCCGTGCAG